TATTCAAACGGTTTGCTACACATGAAACATCAATAACCAAAGAATTCACTTTAGTTGCACTGGTGCTAGGACCAAACTTTAAGTACTAGCATGTTTCTCTCCATCATTCTTTTTCACTACATACACAGACTCAAAATTATCTGTTGTTTCTCTAAAGCTTTTTTTTCCAAAAGTATTTAAAACACGCTACACTAATTTGCCTTGTTAGAATCCAAAAAAACGTTATTTCCTCTGTCTTTTTAGTGGCTATGATTTAGCCTATTGTATATACAGATTTGGCAGCTTTTACATATTTCCTCAGGCCTTAAGATACAATTAGAACTTCAGGCTTTCTAAGAAAATGGATGTGATTTGATTTAAATTTGCTACTGAATCAGAAATGGATAAGCTGTATTTGTCCTTACTAAGCATGATTCACCCTGTATTCTCACATTGTATACTGGTTTTCAATTTTTAGACTTCCTTTTTTGAACACCTCGTCAATGCTGATCTGTTTCAAAATGCATAAAATATAATAACATAAGCAGCAAAACTGGAGAGAGTGCTTTATAAATGACTTTGAAGCCAAATTAAAACTCTTTATTGATATCACCATTTCATTAGCAGGGCTTAAGAATGTGCTTGAAGCATGTGCTTATGTTTATGTGCTTTGTTGTACAGCTGTGGGACTAATTCTGTATTTAAATGTTATCCTGAATAGGGGCACATATTATATTCAATTTATCTGCCTAAACCAGTGGTTCTCAACCTTTTTGGATTTAAGACATCCTTTGTTAGACTCAAACACCCCTCATTAGACTCAAGGCATCCTTTGGAAAACACCAGATCTCAGTGTAAAAAAAACAAACCCATGACTAAAAAAAAGCAGGATGGTGCCATGGCATCAGTGTGCACCACCCAAAAGCGGAAATTGGACAGCCACAGCCAGGCTCTGGCTGCCGGCCAGGCTCCCAGCTGTAGGCGCGCCATGGCTGCAACTCCCAGAAGCCCCCAAGACTCAGGTAGGGCTGCTGGGGCCAGCACAGTTGTTGGTCCCAGCCTCCCCTACCCCACCCGGGAAAATGTGCCATGTGCCAGAGTGCATTTGGCAGATGCATTTCATGGGGGCAAGTAGCAGCAGCACAAGGTGTGCCACTACTTGTCCCTGGGGAAACGCATATTCCTGCTCTTGGGAACACACCCTAACAGGTCTAAGGGCAGTGACAGGACCCCTGGTGTCACTTTTAAAAGGATCTTGTGGTACCCTGATTGAGACTCAACGGCCTAAAAACATGATCAAATGCTTTGTGATCAAGTTGTTCAGAAAGTAGCATGCAGTCATAGAATCATATTATTATGGATGTGTTTAATGTTTTAGTGCTTTTAATTTCTAGCTGTAGTAATTTAAGGAGTGTGAAGTTATTCTGCTGATTGTATAAATACCTGCTACAAGGAGGAGAGACAAAGGCACACTTTTTTTATTCTTGTCTCTGTACTGCATAAACATCTCTTAATGACTGAATGAATAAGACCATAATTTTGTTCATAGGTGAAATAGAAAGTTATACTGAGTTGTGGTTTATTACCTCAGTTCAGGCAATCAAACTTAACTGTATGGCATTCAAGAGGAAATCAACAATAAAAAACAATTCAAAATATATTAGAGAAAGTGATTCTCTCATTTTTGTATTGTCCATTTCTCCAGGAAAGCACCAGGAGGTGTTTATTTCCAGCTTGCCTGCAAGGCAGATAAGAAACTTCTCAAATTAATTACTGCTCAGTTGTGACAGGCTCGCTAGACAGTTTCTATTGCACAACTTAGCTTTTGCTTCTTTTTGCTTTTTTTTTAATGGTGGCTTTCCCTCATTTCTTGATGATCTCTGACTCACCAAGGTGGAATGAAAAGAATATCTTTCCATACACTGCCTAGGCTGCCACATTTGTTATTGCGGGTGTTGGCACAGGATTAAATATAGATTTTCTTTTAAAAAAGATATGTTTTCCTTGTTTGTGGCAGAGCTCTCCACTCTATGGAGAAAGCTCAAGCCTCTTTCCCAAAGCACCTTGACGTGCTGAGAAATATTGGTATTTGAATTAGAGGCTAATCAGGAGCAGCAGAGACAGTGACGTGTTTCAGCTCTGTCTTTTTTGTAGCCAATTACTCCGGGCTCCTAGTGTTCATGTCTTCCATGTACTTTCTTTAATTAGCACTTTATTAGCTTGGCTTCAGAGAGTTGGTTGTGGAGAAAACTTTCCTGAAGCTGCCACATGGTCACAAGCAGGAGGTGATTAAATTTAGTTTTAAGCAATAGGCATCTGCATGCATTCTTTGAATCTCAGTGTGCTTTAAAAGATGTATTCCTAATAATTTGTGCCCAGAGGGATATTATGCTGTCAGTAACTGTATCTGAAAGGCCGTCTTGCATCATTAGCTACTGCCTATATGCTATTCATTTAGTTCTATTTTAATAATAAGATTCTTGACCCCGCCCCCATTAAACGCAAGTTGATTTATGTTGATGCAACGGGAAAGGCAAAATGTAGGGGGTGACTTGTATTAGTTGATTAGACTAGGAAAACAAGGCAAATTCCTTCTAGTGAATATATTACACTGCTTCAGCCATACACAAGTCTACCTCCTTCATTGCACAGTTATTTAACCCTTTGTGTTATCTGATTTGGTTCATATTCAATGGAGATTATTAAGTAGGATTGTGGGCACAGACAAATGACAATTTTCTCCTGATCTGGCCCCAAGAAGTGGCTTACAGCTGTGACCAAATAGAAGTGACCAAATAAAGCTTCAGACTGCTTTAAAAGGGCCTGGTTCCATGAAAATCTGACCCTTATTGCATGAGGGTTCAAATGAACACACTCCAAAACAGGGTGTGTTGTATAATTTGTGTTTGCAGAGCTCCCAGCCTATCGCTATTTTCAGAATGGGAGGGGAGAAAGGGAGTGGAGGGAGTTTGGTCTGTGTTTTTTTCAGCCAGTGCTGGAGGGCAGGGTGGATGGATTGAAGCCTCCCCAAGGTGAGGGTGGGGAGGGGTTCCAATTCACCTGCCCCACCCTCCAGTGCCACCTAGGAAACCCCAAGAAAGAGCTCCCCCCTACCTTCCTTCCCCTTCCCATTTTGAAAATAGCTTCTCGGCTGAGAGGTAGGAGTGGTGTCACTATGGAGACTAGGAGTGTGGAGTGGTGGCACTAGGAGTGGTGTCACTATGGGCTGTAGGTTCACAGCGGGAAGCTGGAATCCCCAACTCCGGGACCCAACAGCAAACTTCTGTTGGGTTCAGGGGATCACTGCAACTCAGCACTACCTGCAGAACACTATGAATTGCAGTGGGGAGCTGCTTTGTCTGCTCTGTCTTGGTGAAGCCATCCAAGAAATGGATATTTCACCTTACTTTTTGAGTAAATTTCAGCAAAATCAGTTATTGCCGCAAAATCTGTGACCCTAAGGAAAAATTATTACTAAACTTAATGGGAGGTTTGCTTAATTAAAGGACAGAAAATGTATTAAGTATGGCAAGTCACCTAGGAGCCAACCCAACTTGTGTGAAGCCATCCCATAGTTGTTTTATACATGCACTGTACCTCAAAGTTAACACAGGATGTCTAAGTGTATAGGTGGGCAGAGAATAAGTTGTGCCTATGGAAGGATATCAAGGAGCTCCAAGAGATATCTGCCTGGTAGCATTTCACAGGAGTGGTGCTGCCCTTGTTATAGATTGTTTAACATGGCTCACAACAGAGTCCTAATATTCTACTTGATATATCTTTTTGTCAACTTATAATTTCTTTAGAATAATACAAGGGGAATAATAATAGCAACACTTAATTGTGCTTTCCTGATTTAATGACAGCACTGCTGGTCATTAGGTCATTCATGGCTTTATGAGTTCAGCATCTTAGTACTGGGCAGAGCAATTGCCTAAAACATTATGTACTAGGATATTTCAAGGTCTATGAACTGGCTCATTATTACACTATACTTCAATAGAGCCAAACAAATGCAACTATAAAAGGAAACCATGTAGAAAACACTACTCACATGCATTTATATTTAGAATCCCATTTTCTTCTTGTATCACAGCTAAAAGAAATTATAATTTTAGCTATGAAAATCTATAAACGGAGTAGGAACCAGACCCAGCAGTCTAGTGTGTTAGAAGTGATGAACTCAGTAATTTCATTGGTATAAAACTGAAAGAGTTTTTGTCTATCTTTGCAGTCAATGCCATGGTTTTGTACAGGCTTATGTGTTGTGTGTGCAGAATCCTCCCAAAAACAGAGATGAGAGAAGAATTCTGTTTTGGTAGGATTTTTATACTCATATTACATTTGTTTTCACCACTGTGGAAGACTGCACAAATGATGTGACAGCAGCGGGGTGGGGCTCGGGGGTCCCAAATCTTTCCAGTAGCATGCATCAGCTGAGCAGAATTTGGGCCCTTGTAATAAAAGTAGATTAGAGAAGAACCCAGTAATGAAAATGGCTAAGTGGTAGTGCGGTAGTTCTGTCAATTTTATTTTGTTTAATCATGTAAAACACACAGTTATGGTATGTATCAAGGCACATCAAGAAATATATCTTTAATGGATTTCAATTCCAGGTGGCATTACATTAGGAGCAATCTTTTACAGTTTAAAGTTAATTTTATATTGCTGTTGATCTTGTATTTTGGACATGGTCTGTAGCACTGTCTCATACGACAGGAGGCCCAAGCACTTTCTCACTTTATTGAACTATCAGGAGCTAGGTGTTCTCGGGAAATGAACTCCAGGAGGGAGTAGAGTTTACTTGGTGCCATTCAGTCACAGCACTGCTTGTTGACAGCCCTAAGGTTAGCTGAGGTTTGCCAGGGGGTTGGTACAGCTCTCCTGCCTCAGTATCACAATAGCATTACACACCAGAGTACAAATGTAGATGAGCTCCTATTAAAAAAGAAATGATGGCTCTCTGGCCCTCTGATTCTCAAGTTAGTGAAAATTTTGCCATTAAGGCAATAGGTTTGGGAGCCCTATGAATAGCCATGATTTGGCTCAGAAGCCATGTACACGGCCTAAACTTAGTGACCCGTTTAAATTCTTGGCACATGCAAGAACCACACAATGAGGTTGTATAAGGAGGACTACATATAGCATGTGAAATTCATGCAAGATTAGTAACAAAAAATGAACTCAGTGCTTTTCTGCATTACTTGGAACAAAATAATCTGTCCTGCAAGAACAGGAAGAAAAGGCACAGGAAGCATTAGAGAAGGTGTGTACAGTGGTCTAGATCACAGTTTTCCAAATTCTGAGTGGCTGGGGGTCACATGTTGCAGTTCCCACCACCACACAGCAGGCATCACCACACTGCATCATGCCAGCCTGTAAAGTTGTCCCTCACCACCCTTGGTACCATGTAGCAGCAACACCCTCTCCTTTTCCCCTCATGTTGCTGCAAGCCTCTCTCTCTAGTGTCCCATGCCATGGGCTCCCCTGTTTCTATGGGCCATGACCTGTTCACAGGGGCAAAGGCAGGGAAACAACCTGGAGTGGGGAGGGGAGCCAAGAGATCCCAGAAGCAGCAGCAGGAGCAAGGATGGGGAGTGCCATCCAGGCAGGAGACTGAGGAATGCAAATTGGACCATTGTGATCTCATCTAATATAAAGGGTTGTGGAGCAACTAGTACAGATGAGGATGTAACAGTCAGGTCAAGAACATGTGCTACACTTCCACTTACATCTTTAAACTAGTCCTGGGAGAAAATTGTGAGACACTGTAGTTAAATAAATGTAACTTTATTAAATATAGGTTGTCTGTGCAGATCTGCAGAAACCAGTACATATACATTTCCAACGTAT